AGCCCAGCAGGTTGAGGCTGCAGTGGCCGGGAGCAGCCACTGCACTCCAGTCTGGGCGACAGAGTGAGACTCCAACTCAAGCAAAAAAAAAAAAAATGGGAGGCCAGGCTCAGTGGCTCAGCCTGTAATCCCAGCACTTTGGGAGGCCAAGACGAGTGGATTGCCTGAGCTTGTGGGTTCAAGACCACCCGGACAACTTGGTGAGACCTTGTCTTTACAATAAATCAAAAACTAGCCAGGCATGGTGGTGTGTGCCTGTAGTTCCAGCTCCTTGGAAAGTTGAGGCAGAAGGATTGAGGAGCCCAGCAGGTCGAGGCTGTGGTGGCCGGGAGCGTGCCACTGCACGCTCAAAAAATTGGCCGGGCTCAGTAGCTCAGCCTATACTCCCGCGCTTTGGGAGGCCAAGGTGAGTGAATTGCCTGAGCCCACGGGTGCAAGACCCACCTGGGCAACTTGGCGAGAACTCATCTCTACAATAAATCAAAAATTAGCCGGGCGTGGTAGCGCAAGCCTACAGTTCCAGCTACTTGGAAGGCTGAGGCAGAAAGATCGCGGGAGCCCAGCAGGTCGAGGCTGCAGTGGCCAGGAGCGTGCCACTGCACTCCAGTCTGTACTCCAGCTTAACATTTGATTGCAGTTAACAAAGCATACAATTATATGGAACTTATGGTGAAGGAGTTCTATAATGGTCAGCAGACAACGGTCAGCATAATTTGCCCAAAGGAGACAAAGCTGGGGGTCTGGGAATGTTACTGTATACCTCATCTCTACAATAAATCAAAAAATCAGCCGGGCGTGGTAGTGTGCCTGTAATTCCGGCTACTGGGAAGGCTGAGGAGGAAGGATCGCCGGAGCCCAGCAGGTCAAGGCTGCAGTAGCTGGGAGCATGCCATTGCACTCCAGTCTGGGCGACAGAGCGAGACTCCAACTCAAAAAAAAAAAAAGTGAAAGCAATCAATTATTAAAATAATCCTTTAACAGGCAAAAGTAAGCTCACTTGAATAGAAAAAACTCTAGTGTGATGGATACTGGGCCTAGACTAATTTGGAATAAATGCTGAGAAATCCGTCACTAAAGTAGGTGACTAATATTAACAGAACGTTTTCTCTCTGCCTGTGACTTGTAAACTGAGACCAGAAATCTTTCTCCAGTTATAAAACGCGGTTGGTGGCGCCGCATTCTTAACCTCCAAACCCTCATGGCTCACCCTCCCCCGACTGAGTGCAGACTGGCTGGCAGGCCCCAATGACCCCACAGGACCCTGCACACCAGCCCGGGCTGCTCCAAGCCCCGCCTTTCCTCCTGTGACTCCTTCCCGGCTCCCCAACACCCGCCCTCCAGCCCGCAGCCTGTGTTTCTCCTCCCTCTGGGACCCCCTCCCCTGCCAGGGTTTTAGCCACACCTCGCCCAGCACTCACGACCCCAGCACCCGGGCACCTTCCGGGTGGGACCTCTCTGCCCAGCTCCTGGCCCTCCTGGGAGGCCTCTCCACCCACCGTCCCTCCTGTGGCCCCCCCAAGGGACGCAGGCCCTCACCCAGTCTCAAGGTCAAGCCCCAACTCCCTTCGCCTCCCCGCGGGTCCAGCTGGAGACCACCCCGCCTCGGGTCTCAGAGGCCTTCCCAGACCCACGGGCTCTAAATGGCTGTCTCCCCGCCCCCCCCCCGCAAAAAAAGCTCTCAGGGAGAAGACCGTGGTGGAGGGGCGCACCCCCACCCGAGGTGCCACGGCCCCGCCCCCACCCGCCTCCGGCCGGAGGCTCTGCAGACGTCTCCGCGTCTTCTGGGGCCTTCATCAGCCCACGTCCCTCTCGAGACCCCTACTCCAATCGCAGGCGGCTTGCCCCCGGCCATCCCCGGGAGCCCCTGCCGTCCCCTCCTACGGGCTCTCGCATCCTGGCCTGGAACGACGCCCCACTGTCCACAGTGCCCTCCGCCAACGCCCCTCCTCGGGGACCCCCCGGGTAGGGACCTCCTCTGGCCCCCTCCCGGGCCCTCCGGCTCCCGGCCTCCCTCTGCCCAGGCCAGAGCCCCCGGGCCGTGGCGTCCCGCCCGGGCCCCGTCCCGGCCTGGCCTCCAGGCTCCGGATGCGGAGACCCTCGCCCGCCCCGAGGCCACCCGGACCCCGTGTCCACCTCTCCGGCTCT